TTTTTTTTTGCAGAACCGGGGATTGAACTCAGACCCTTGCACTTGCCAGGGAAGTGCTTATTCCACTGAACCATCTCCCTGGCCCCAAATAAACTCTATTTATTTATTTATTTTTATTTATTTATTTTTTTGGCGGAACCAGGGATTGAACTCAGGCCCTTACGCTTGCCAGGGAAGCGCTTATTCCACTGAGCCATCTCCCTGGCCCCTATACCTTTCTATTTTTATTTCTTCTTTTGAGTTCTTACTCTAGGGAGACTATATGATATTTACATATCATATAGGGTCTGGTTTATTTCACTTATGTGAGTATATCTTCAAGTGGCATCCACTTCAATATAAAGTTTTGATTTTATCATTTTTTATAGCTGAGTATTACTCCGTTGTATAAAAATACCACATCTTTTTCATTTATTTCTCAGGTGACGGGCATCTTGGTTGTTTCCAACATTTGGCTATCAGAAGTTGTGCTGCTGTAAACATAGGTGTACATAAATCACTATGATACTATGTTTTTAGTTCCTCTGGGAAAATTCCCAATTAGGGGGATAGCTGTTTGAATGGGATTTCCAGTCTTAATTTTTTAAGGAGTCTTCACACTGATATCCATAATGGTTGCACCAGTCTACATTCCCATCAGCAGTTGAACGGGGTTCCTTTTTCCCCACAGCTTCTCCAACATTTATTGTTGGTTAATTTCATTATGATAGCCATGCTTTCTGGGGTGAGATGGTATCTCAGTGTTGTTTTAATTTTTATTTTTGCTAGTGATATGGAGCATTTTTTCATATTCACTTCTATGATTTCATCCTCTGAGAAGTTTGCATTCATCTTGGATGCCCATTTCTGGATTGGGTCTTTAAACTTTGGAGCCCTAATGTTTTTAATTTTTTAAAAATTCTAGAGAGCAGACCTTTGTCTGAGTGCTTATTAGCTAATATTTTTTTCCCAATTTGTTGGTTGCCTTTTTACTTTGTTGGTAATTTCTTTTGATGTGCAAAAACTTCTCAATAAGAGGAGGTCCCTGTTGTTAATTCTTTAAAGTATTACCCATGCGATTTGATTTTTGTTCATGAACTCTTTGCCTACCCTATGTCGTTAAGAATTCTTCCTACTTTCTCTTCCAGGAGATTTAGTGTTTCTGTTTTAATGTTTAGATCTTGAATCCATTTTGACTTTAGCTTAGTGCATGGTGATAGACCTGCGTCAAGATTTAGTTTTCGGCATGTGGAGAGCCACTTTTTCCAGGAACGTTTGTTAAAGAGGCTTTCTTTCTTCCAGTAAGCATGTTTGGCCCCATTGTCAAAGATAAGGTGGTTGAGTGTGTTTGTAGTGGCTTCTGCATCTTCTCATCTATTCTGTTGATCCTCAGGTCTGGTTTTGTTTTTGTTTTTGCCAGTGCCATGCTGATTTCATCACAGTAGCTTTGTCGTATAATTTCAAGTCAGGAATTGTAATGCCTCCCACCTTGTCTTTGTTGCCCAGAATTGCATTTGCTGTTCTAGGTCTTTTCTGGTTTCAAATAAATTTTAGGAATGGTTTCTCTAGGTCTGTGTGATATGTTGGTGGTATTTTGATAGGGATTGCATTAAATCTGTACAACAATTTTGGGAGTATGGCCAAAATTGAAGATTTGTGCCATCTTCACAATGTTGGCTCTTTTTATCCAGGAGCAGGGAATATCTTTCC